TATGCATGTTAATATATCTAAGTGCAATCGTATTATATTTTCTCGTCGTACAGTTGAAACTAATTTTCATTATCTTATTAATGGTGCAACATTACCATCAGTTGTAAACATAAAGAATTTGGAATTATTCTTGATGATAGATAAACTATCATTTCCTTCTCACATAACATAAATCATTGGTAAATCACTGAGAATTTTGGGATTTATTAAACGTGTTACTTCTGACTTTGTTACTGTACCTACGTTCCATCAAAATTCTATATTGCAGCCTTGTTAGAAGTCTCTTGGATTATGCCATCTCTGTATGATTTCCATATCCACAAAATTGAGCGAGTGCAGAAGAAATGTATATGCATCATATTCATTTCAAATTCCATAGAGACACTGAATATAACTACGAAGAAATGCGCCAAAGGCTAAATATGTCATAACTTCAAGAAAGAAGAAGTATTCATGACCTACTACTTCTTTTTAAAATTCTCAATTCCCTTGTTGACTGTCCCTATCTCACTTCCAGCATCGGTTTATATGTACCACCTTTTATTATGAGAAATGTCTCAACCTTCTATCAACCATATCATCACACCAACTACGGTCAAAATTCCTTGGTCTCCACATCCGTGTCACTCGCAAACCAATATCCGCTCCTTGATTTTTTCTCTCCACTTCAACTTTTCAGAGAGCACCTGTAACAGTTGAACCTTGCTAGATTGTAACTTATCTGTTAACAGTGTAGCCTAGCTTAATTCTTAATTCATAGATTAGGTTTGAATTATAATTTTATCATTGTTAAAAAATGGCACTGCCATCAATAAATAAATAAAATTTTGTGTCAACATCTGGAGAGCGATCCACCTCCGGTGTATCCCCACCAATTAGGTTGCCAAATTGTTTTGGATTGATATTTTATCCTGTTATGACTTTGCTTCAAAAAATTGCAGCTTCTACGACTAAAAACGACTACTGGCAACCCATGACTCCCTTCGAGCAACTCTTCTCTCCGGGCCCATGGTGGTTTTTGTCATCACAACAAACATCAGTTTATGAATGAGATGCGGTGTCTATCTGTATTTGCGGGCGCGTCATAATAGAGGAGGGCTTATCGATACGACATATCTATAAGCATATCAATACGAATTTGTCATGTTATTACTGTCAATAATGTCCTCAATATTATTAGGTATTTATGAATATGAAATTATAAATTATCGTTGTGTGGTCTTGGTTCATGTGTTGTTACCCACCTTACGTTATATTTCATTACAAATATTTGGAAATAATTGGAAAATTAATTAGGAAAATAACGAGAAGCTTATCACTGGACCTGGACATGCTTCTAAATACAGACAATATAAATCATAAAAATATTATTATCGATATGTAAAAGAAGTAGAGGTTTAAAAAAATACTGGTTCTTCGTTTTATCTTCCTTATCTCTTCATTCATAAACCTACGTTATCCACTTTGTATTTTTTGTTGCCAACTTCTCTTGTATCTCTTAGAGAGATATCGATTGGGAGGAAGGATTTAGAAAATTTTGATGGTATTAAGTTTCTCTACTTGTTGCTATTTTTTCCGTGATATATTTGTTTAGAAGTAAGTGGTTAGGGTCATTACTTGCGGATGCAAAAACTCCCACATCAAGCATTCCGCGAAACTGATAATCAATTTTTGTCCACTAGAGTTTTCGAAAGTTATTGTGTGTATGAGAAACAAAGTGTTACTCTTGATCGTTGAGTGCCAAAAAGTACATGGGTATAATGTACATTTTCATCGATGAGTTTTTCATTAAAGTGACTTTCAATTTCTGCTATGAAGTCCTTACTGACTGAAGTCGCCTACAAAGGATTATTTCTTTTTATCTTAGTATCATGTACATGATATCTTGAAGGCGTGATTTTTTTTTCTTACTATCAGTTATTGATGTCAGGAGCCTACTATAATGTTCCTGAAATTGGGAAATAAGAAAAAAAAAGGCCATCTACCGAATGAGGCCGAACAAGCTGAACTTTTGCAGAGACCTTCCTCATATGCCTACCCTTGTGCGTTTTGAGACATCGAAGGTCAAATGTTATTAAAATCGGTTTTTCGCGAAAATCTCGCTTCCAGTGCATCTGACGTCAAAGAACTCACAACAAAACTTACGTAAAATAGTATTCTCTACAAAATTGTTTATATACATTTTTCCCGCACGACCAACCGTTTTCGAGATATAGCGTGATAAAGCGAGACTATAATGTTCCTGAAATTGGGAAAGTGGGAAATAAGACAAAAAAGGCTATCTGCGGAATGTCGCTGACCAAACTGAACTTTTACAGGGACCTTCCTCATATGCCTATCCTTGTGCGTTTTGAGACATCGAAGGTCAAAAGTCATAAAAAACGGGTTTTCGCAAAAATCTCGCTTCCAGTGCATCTGATGTCAAAAAATTCAAGACAAAACTTACGTAAAATAGTATTCTCTACAAAATTGTTCATATACATTTTTCCCGCACGACCAACCGTTTTCGAGATATAGCGTGATAAAGCGAGACTATAATGTTCCTGAAATTGGGAAAGTGGGAAATAAGACAAAAAAAGGCTATCTGCGGAATGTCGCTGACCAAACTGAACTTTTACAGGGACCTTCCTCATATGCCTACCCTTGTGCGTTTTGAGACATCGAAGGTCAAAGGTCATAAAAAACGGGTTTTCGCAAAAATCTCGCTTCCAGTGCATCTGATGTCAAAGAATTCAAAACAAAACTTACGTAAAATACTATTCTCTACAAAATTGTTCATATACATTTTTTCCGTACGACCAACCGTTTTCGAGATATAGCTTGATAAAGCAGGAGCGCCCATTCAAAATAAGTCCTACTGTATTATACTGCGGAGCTATAACTATCAATGGATTTTTCCTAATCTGTTGGTCTGGAAAATAAAACTTTCAACATAAAATTTGTTTATTTATAATAAAATATACACGGTGTCAATTTGAAAACTTTCAATGCGAATATCTCTGAAAGTATGGCATTTTTAATACTTCTCCTTATTCATCAATCGCGAATCCGATGAAACAAAAAATTACCAAGAAAAACGAACGTCGATTGCTAATACCTACGTCAATTGTATGTATAAATAGGAAATTCGTAACCTAATTTTATTTGTGGTACAAATTTTATACAGGTAGGGGTAACTAGAGCTACCAGATTTTTTGGTTATAATGACCTCTTGGACCCCACCCACCCCATTACCACTTTTGTGATACCTAAAATTAATTGGAAATTTTTTGAAAAAATGATTGTGCAGGTGAATACTATACTCAAAAATATTTAATTTCAGGTGTCACAAAAGGTGGTGCTATTAAAAATTTTGAGGTTGGGGTGCATGGGGCCTGAGGGGTCGCTTGCCCCATAACCAAAATATGGTGGTTTCAGTTCCTTCTACTTGTATTAACATTTGTACCAAATTACGTTTTTCTAACTTTTTTACTTTCAGATATATTCGAATTGAAAATTTTCAAATTGACACCCTGATAATTATTTACAAAACAATGTATTATTTTTACACCACTTTTGTAATGAAATGCAAAGCTTCTATATTTTGTATGCAAATAAAAAAACATTTCCTTATTCTAGACGAGAAAAGTACAGAGTATTATATTATCAGGTCTACACCAAGTGCAGATTTGGCTAGGAAAAAATCCACAACCCTAAGGATGGGGTTGGGATTTAAAAAACGAAATATTAGAGGCGAAAACCACACTACTGCACCTGCCCCAAATGAAAGACTCCAGTGACCTTGAGCCTAGAGAGGTTTTGCCAACAAACATAGAACCAACAGATATAGAGTCGGACGTTTCTGACGAAGATAATATGTTGATCGAGGTGCTAGTGGAATCCGACGAAGACGAGGAGGAAGGCATGTGCAAAAAATTATAATGTCCAAAAACTTTTTCTAACATCGAAAACATGGATTAGGCCTACTGGGGATACCATGTCAAAAAAATTATTTATTATATATTTTATTATATGAAAATTTTAGATTAATTTTCCTTGCTATTCCATCCACAGACGCGTTTCGACGTATCAGGTCTCATCAGTGTGGCAAGGAAAGCAAAGAAAACTAATCCAAGTTTAGTGCCTGTAGGCAAAGTAGAAGTATAAGTAACTATTTTATTATAAATGAACAAATTTCTAACAAATTTTATTATTGAAAGTTTAATTTTCCAAACTAACAGATCAGGAAAAATGCATTTATGGTTATAGCTCCGCAGTATAATACAGTAAAGTATTACCTATTTTGAATGCGTGCTTCCGCTTTATCACGCTATATCTCGAAAACGGTTGGTCGTACGGAAAAAATGCATATGAACAATTTTGTAGGGAATACCATTTTACGTAAGTTTTGTTTTGAATTCTTCGACGTCAGATGCACTGGAAGTGAGATTTTCGCGAAAACCCGATTTTCATGACCTTTGATCTTCGATATCGAACATCAAAACGAAGGTCTCTGCAAAAATTCAGCTTGTTCAGCCTAATTCCGCAGAGGAACTTTAATTTCCCTGGACGTTATTTGTTTTTGAGATTTCGTGACCCAGAATTCAAAATTTGTTTTGTAACATCTATTTGTGATTGATTTTTTCTAACTTACCAATACCCAAAGTTGAAGCTACAACTTCAAAGTTTATATAAACTCCATCCAACCAAATTTCTACGTCTATACCCCATCGATTCCCCGTTTTATTATTTTTGATTTGCGTGTTCCGCTCCCCCTTTTATGGCGCGTTTCTTTTGTTTTTCGATACGTCCCGATGCCGTTTAATGCCTTTTGACAACAATATTCAATATAAGTTGTTATATTCGATGTGAAAAAAAAATGTATTATGGGGATTTCGTGCTCGAATATGGGCATTTAGCCTCGTTTGTTTCGAATCAAAAAGGCACGACAGGCTTTGATTTTTGATTGAAATATTATTAGCATGGTTCTGGAAATCTATTTAATCTAAGTCGAAACTTACTTCTTTGTCTTTGGTGGCGATTTCGGACTCGAAACTTTGCCGGTCCATATTCGATGTATCCTTATTCTCACAATTATTTGTTCCATTATTGCCCGAGAGTTGTTCTTTTAACGTTGTCAATTCTTTTTCAGCTAAAGTTGCCCTCTGAAACAAAACAAAAACATACATTAAGTCCCCACAATACAAAAAGAAAAGTTATTAAATATTCTATCTATGCAAACCAAGCTTGTGACTTTATATAATATCACACCCCGATGCCTAAATCACCCCTTGGTGATTTGATATAACGTCTAAGCTTCATTCTATGTACCCCCAAACGAAAGTAGGCCTATAAATCACTATCAAATATTCAAATATAACGTTTGTATTGCCTTTTGTCTTATAAGGGTACGTTTTTTTTTCAAAGTTCACTGGGGAGATGAAAATGTATACCCATAGACAGGGTGTTTTGGTAATTCTTCAATCTTATGTTTCATTATTATTATCTATGTTGCAATATAAAAATAAGAGCTTCCAAATATATTCTAGGCGTGTACTTCGACTGAATATTATAATTACCTATACCTACCTGTGAAATGTGTTCAAAATTATTTGTATTTTGAAAATAATCAGTTGAAGTTGAAATAGAGTGTGTGTGTTGAGTAAATGTTGTCACCGACCTTTTATTTTAACTACATATCAATTATGAAAATCCCATTTCATCAAAATTTAATCTAGTCACCCGAAAGGCTCAAAATTCCAATACTTTTAACCCTATACTTTTTGATTTAATAGCCCCTATTTTGCGTATACGTATATTTTGAGCCTCAGATCGGCGGTTTTTTAATAATCTCAATCTAAATCCCCGGTTTTTTGATTAGAAATCATATAAATCACAGTATATAGAACGAATCCGGATGTATTATTGCTTTTTTGGCATGGGGGGAGACGCGCGATATTAAAAAAAAGATATGAAATCTGCTAAAGGATTTCAATTTTTAAAAAAAGATTTATTATTATGGATTAATTTAATTCATGATGGCACAAACCAAAAAATCAAGAACGGATATCCTTTTATCAAACTCCTTTAACAAACCAATCGCGTTCAATTAAATTTTTTTCTCGTTTTTTCTTCGTTAAAAACCAAATTAGTTCTCAGCAGCCCAAACAAAGATATAAATAAAAATAGAAGTCCCCATTATTCGGTGAAATAAAGTATTAAATGACAACCTTTAGTTCAAACCTAACATGCAAATGATTGACTGAGAAACAAAAGACATTCGAGGGTTGGTTGTTGTTCGACGAAAAACAAAAGGAAAGGGTCGCGTTTTTTTTAAGTACATATTCGTCTGTCTGTGTACAAGTGTCAATCACTCCTACGCGAGAGCCAGCGTCACCCAGTCTCCCAAACTCAGACTTGACCAACAATGTTTCCGGTAGCTTTATTGCCAACCTATTATACCTTAATGGACAATTTCTTAATTGAAAACAATCGAAAGGGGTGTCAATTTAGCTCTTTGCTTGCACGCTCGCCAAGCGCTAAAAACCGCGCCAACTTTTGAACGACACCATTGTACTTCGTTTCCGGTATTTTTTTGAAAGGCTTTAATTTTTCAGAAAACCAATTATTGTGGGTGAGAATGAAAGGACCATTGATTTGAACCTTATAGCTGTTTTCTGAGACACGCGAATTATGCAAATAGGTTGGATTGGATCGCAGCTGTTTAGAATTTTATTATGTATAACGAATTGGCCGTATGGAGCACCCGATTTTATGACCATTGACTTTTTTGGTTGAGGTGATCAACAGAATATTTGAATATGTTGAGGAAAAAAATAACTCTTGAAAGTTTTCAGTGAAGTAGGTAAAGTAGATTGGTTATTGATGTAAATCCATAAGTTTTATATTGAGACCAAATAATATTACATAGGAGTCTTCTAATTTGGATTTATCATTGATGGTAAGAACATATTGGTCTGTGTTTTGAAAGATTTCAGTCGTCTTCATCTTAGTCTTCTTCTTGTTTCTTTCTTTTATAGATGTAAAATATGATCAGCATTCTTTCCAGTGTGGTTTTTATCGTTCCATTTATTATATTTCTGTATTTTACCCTGTTTTCGAAGATACTCGCTTCAAGTTCTTCTTCAAAATGTTAGAGATTGATGTCTTTTTGGTTCTTTATCAATATTTACTTATTATTCTTCTTACTTATTATTATATCGCTTCATCAGCTATTGAGGAAGTTTCCTCATCTGATTTGTATTGATTTTATTGGTTTGTATAGTTTTATTGATTTTTAATTTATTTTTCCTTAATATCCTCCAAATCTTTCTCTAGTATTCGTCTATATCTACTCCTATCTCTTTATGAATATTTCCTCTCTTCTTTCTCCTTTCATCTCCCTTATTCCAATGTAGGAACAATCCCAAAACAGCAGAAAAATGAAATATTCTTCGTTTTACACATACCCATCTCAATAATAATTATAGAAATATATCAGTCATATACAGAGTGTCCGGAATATAGAAACCTTTGAAGATACAGGATACATTTAACATATATGGTATAGCAACGGATATACATGGCAAAAAAAAGTGCGTTTTATAGAATCCAGATATTGTGCATCACATCTAGATTATATCCAGTCCTACACCTACACTTGATTGTATCTTTTATAGTAAACACTTTTTTTCTTGTTTGTCCTGAAAATCCGTTGTTATTCCAAGTTCAAAGAAGTCGATGACAGATTATTTGTAGGCACTTGATGCGCAACTTTCTTCTTATTTGAGCTACCCTGTATCTTCAATGGTTTCCAAAATCCCCATATACTTGCCAAAAACATTTCGCCGCGTGTGGTTCGAGAAAATAGACCCGCGGTTTTACATTTGCCGCGACCGGTTAAATCAGGAGACGGTTTCGTTGCACTCCTACGCATTGGATCTGAACTTCCTGAATGAGCTGGTCAGCTGAGTGGAGTTTGGGAGTAGAACAAGGTAAGGTGAAAAAATATCATTTTCAGTTTCGATAACTTTTAATTTCATTTTAAAATCTATCATCGATTACCATTCTATCAGCAACCTGTGGATTTTTGGCAACAACATACTTCAAGTTATTCCACAATTAATGAAATGGAAGATGGAGAGATCAATGCTGGAAATCATCGTCTCAAGATAAAAGTAGAAGTCCAAACAGCGAAATGCTGGAAGATACAAGAGTAGGTACTGTAAAAGCAGAACTGGACAAAACGCACCTGTCACAGAATGGGGATTAACAAGTGAAAGAAGAGAATCATAGATGGTCAAACAATAGAGAGAAATATTCTCTCTTTGGACTAAGACATAAAGAGAACCATTGAAAACTGGATGTTGAATGATCAAAAGAACAGCAAAGCAGTAGACAGGAAGAGCTGACGACCATGATGATGCTGAATCCAACGTCAACTCTATGACCAGTTTTCTGGCTTTCTTCTTGTGTGTTCCTTGATGCGGTCTGTTCCAAACTCGTAAAACAATGCAAAGCTTCGCAAGAAAATTATACCATTCCTGAACAATTTTAGGCGAGATCGAAAGAACTCTATAAGCAGCAGCTGTAAATCCGTTGTTATTCCAAGCTCAAAGAAGTTGATGACTGATTATTTGTATAGGCATTTGATGCGCCACTTTCTTTTAATTTGGGCCACCCTGTATCTTCAATAGTTTCCAAAATCTCCATGTACTACCTGTGTGAATTGAAGTTGCTCATTATTGAAAAATCATAAGTAATGCAATGGAAGATGGAAAGATCAATGCTGGGAATCATTGTCTCAAGATAGAACTTCAAACCAGCGAAATGCTGGAAGATACAAGAGTAGGTACGAGATGTTGCAAAAGCAGAACTGGACAGATAATCCAGCACCTGACTGTAGTCCTGTAGGAAAGTTTGCGCAGGGAGAATTTTTTTTCGGGAATGTTCAGTAGGTATGTTAGTAAATTTTGAGCTTGGGTGGATATTCACCACCTGGTACATTTTCCAAATATGGCGTCATCAAATATAGCGGCCTTGCTGACACAAAACTGCTCACAGGGTGACAATTTTTACATAATAACTTCACCAAGTATGTTTCTGCAGATAATATGAGGCTGGTTCTATGTCAGCCCATTCAGATGAGTGTTTCAGATAATCCATGGAGGCACTATGAAGGGATGCTTTTTTGACGCCATACTTACTCCTATAATCCCAGCCCAATTCTGCAAGAGGCTCAAATTCCTCGAGGGGGCAACACTGTCACCAGAAGAAGTGGGCCAACTGACACCCAGGAAAATAGCTTCCTCCGGCAGAAGTCTACGCTTCCTGGAGACAATGTGAGATGTAGAGTCATGTACAAAATATCTGCAAGGGTAGCAGTGCTGAGCGGCTGAAAAGCCAGAACGACTCCCCCGCAATCTACAATCTACAATCTACTCCTATAATATGACCAAGATAGTTCGTGGATGGCTGGAAGCAGACAGCATAAGTTTTGGCCCATTTTTTGGTTAAAATCATGAAAAGGTGAAAGTCGCGTGCAATCACCAACTCCAGAGCGCACCCAGTGTTGCCAGATGGATTTTTTCGCCGACAGTAGATTGGGATAAAAACAAACAGTAGATTTTTAGTTAATGAATTTTTTGCGTAATATTTTAAATATAAAAAAAAATACCTAATTTATGAAAGTGAAAATATTTACAATCAAAAAATTAAACAACTTCCGCAGAGATCTGTGACGTCACCGCCCAGACAGGGAGCGCTCTGAGATCAGTGAAGCCGATAATGCCATGAGTTCTGAGTTGGAGTGGAGTCAGAGCAGTTTTTTGTCACATTCATAACCTTGGAGTTGACAGTAATTTCTTGGACTAGGCTTGAGCAAGGATGATATACACTACTACTACAGGATAGCCTATTCTTATGAGGTCTGTGTGAAGCTCCTTCCTCTCCCCCAACCACTAAATCACCAGTTATGACGTAGGCAGCATGTTATTTCTCGCCTGTTTAAACAGCTGACCACTTAGTTATGACGTCGGAAATGGTGACACATCAATATAGCAACGACTATTAAAAACGAGGCCGATTAGCAATCCTGTAGGTGTGTATCTTCCTTGGGGTTAGCGAGCACGTTCGCCTTGCTAACCGCATGTACTCGAAGTGCATG